AGCAGGAAAGTGAGCTGAGAGGATTTTATGGAGGAAAAAAAACCTTTCTCTCTAACAAGAGTTTATTTACTACAGTGTCAGTCATTTCTTTTTAATGAGAAAACAAAACAGAACAAACACAACAACCTCTCCCTCCTGCTGGGAAGGATTTGTCCCGGTAGAAATAATAAACACCAGTGTCACATTCTCTCCTAATTAGTTAACTGAGTGAGACCGGAGCTTCAGGGAAACCTGCCATGCTCGGTCCCAGGGGCCACATTACGTTTTCATGCTACATCTGGAAGCTGGAGTCCTGCTCCTTGTCAGAAGATATGGTTGGCAGTGATTGATGGCCCTGTCCTGTGAGTTTCCTCTGCATTTTGTGCCCATCTCAGCATTGTTTAAATTGCTCCTGGAGCCACCTCCTGTGCCCAGGCTGCCTCCCAGCTCACAGATTCTGTTCCGTCCCCAGAGCCTGCTTACTTTATGGGCCTCCCAGAATGCCTCTGTGCTGCTTCTACCTGTGCCCTGCGCTGACGGAGGGTCATCCTCACTCGTGTCTGTTCACTTACAAAATCAAAGGCGTTGGCAGCTCCCTTGAAACGAAGTGCCAATGATCTGATTCCTTCTGGAATGACTATCTCCAAAACAGGCTTCCCTCTCCTGTCTTATCTCCTAGCCCTGTTGGCATATGGCTCTCACATTATATGGCAGCTTTTTGTTGCTGTAGTAGCACAATGGATGAGGATGGGAATAAGGGATGAATGGAAATAGAATTGTAACAACCACAGTCATTAGTGTAGGTGCCCGAGTGAAAGGGGGTAGAGGGATGAGTCCACGGTCAGGCTGAGCCAGTTTTACTTTGAAGTAGATCATGCAAGGAAACTCATTACGGTGAGTCCCAAAGTTCTTTAAAGCATCAGTAGCTGCCCTTGGCTCAAACACCAGAGATTCATTTTTCTCTTTCATATAAATATATGCAATATGTAATTTTATTATAAGAGAAAAGATTCATAAAGACGTATAAAAATGTACCAACTCGGTTTAAATAACCCAAAGGAACCACTGTGTACACAGCCCAAGAACTGAAACATTTGTAGTTAATCTGGACCCTTCACGTCTGCTTTTCTGATTATGTTCTCTTCCCTTCCCTTCAGAGATAACTACTACTGTGTTTTTACGTTTATGACCTTACTACAGTATGCATATTTCATGTATGAATGTATATGTATACATGTGTATATATA